GTGGGGCTGCCAAGGTGGGTGGCCTGGAGAGGGAGAAGGAAAGTGGGGAGGGCTGGGGAGGGAGATAGCCCTATGGGGGAGGGGAGGCCGGCTGGACAGAGGTGCCTGTGACTGAGGGTGACTCTCGGCAGGTTCTGGACCACAGCAAGCGCTGGTGGCTAGTGAAGGACGAGAGAGGAGAGAGCGGCTACGTTCCCAGCAACATCCTGGAGCCCCTAGAGTTGGAGGCGCCCAGGACCCCGAGCCAGTCAGCCCTTCGGGTATTGCCTCCTAGACTATTCTGAAGCTCTGAGGCCAGAGTCAGGATAGGGGCGGGGAGGACTCAATGACAAGTGGAGAAGGCTGTCCTGGTTTGATTTAATCTGTATGATCACGTACTCGAGTGCAAGTGAATCATGGAGCCAGAGCAGAGACCAAGCCTGGTCCCTGCCAGAAAAGCAGACCACGGAGTGACATAAGTAATCTGACTGCAGCCCAGAGAAGGGACCCAGACGATAGGGGCTGTGGGTGGCTCTGGGCAGAGACAGCCTCTGACTCCCAGTGCTCCCCGATTCTAGGCTCGAATGCTTCGACTTAGCGCCAAGCCCGAGGAGGTCACAGCCTGGCTGCAGACAGAGAACTTCTCCCCTGTGTGAGTGCCCAGCCCCGAGGGGGATGTTGGGAGGCCCTTAGTGAAGGGTTCACACAGTAACCAAGGAAACCTGGAGCCCAAACATACCACCTGACCTACACGGCACCCACTGGCACCTGCATGGTATATGACAGTCCCACAGGCCGCCTCCACTGAGTTAGACAGCAGAAGAGGGGCTGAGTTCGTGCCTCCGTTAGAGCACTAAGTGGGGAGCCCTTGCCATGGGGAAGGCAGAAGGATTGGTTTAAGCCAAAATGCGAATCTTAGTCATTCACTTCCAGACACCCTACTCCATGAATGTTCCTAGAACCCCAGCCTCCAAGCCCAAACAGGCCTTTCTCTACCCAAAGACTCAAGCCCAAGTCCTCTTGCCCCACCACTGACAGCCTCTCTTTCTTCCCAGCACGGTGAAGACCCTCGGGTCCCTGACAGGGACCCAGCTGCTTTACATGAGCCCAGGGGAGCTGGAGATGCTGTGTCCACAGGAGGCCCCACGGGTCATGGCACGACTGGAGGCCGTCAGAAGGATGCTTGGGGTGAGGACGCCTTGGGGTCCTGAGGCCCAGTGGAACTGTGGGGTGCTCCTTAGTGACAGTAGGAGTGTGGGTGGGTGAGCCAGGAGTCCTGCCCTGGGGTGGAGCCGAGTGTGGTGGGTACCGGGCACAGGCTCGTCCCCCAGGGGCTTGACTTCATGCGCTCAGGCAGGCCTGGAGGCTCCAAGCTGAGGGTTAGCATGAGCTCTGGGGATCCCTTCCCTGGCACCAGCCTCACCTCAATCCTTTCCTCAGATAAGCCGTTAGGCACCAACTCAGACATCTCCAAGACCAAGGCCGCCTCTCAGCACGATGGAGGATCTGATCCTTTGGAGCCCCAAGAATTCCTCTTTCAGGTGCCCAGTTTGCAGCAAACCCCACGCCCAGTTCACACAGCAAAGAGGACGGGCAAGTCCAGAGGTTAGGCGAGTGGCGCCCCCTCTTGCTGTGTTGGGAGCCCTCTCCAGTGACCATCTATTTATTGCCTCTATCCTAAGCCTGGATCATGTGTGCCTAGATTTGTCAGGACTCCTTAGGACTCTCCTCCCCAATAAAAGCATCTTCAAGCTTGTGCCTCCCTTGCATCTTCTGTGCCTGATGGGGGCCAAAGGCAGGGAGGCAGGGGGAGCTGGGACCCTGGGCATGACACAGCAGCCGCCCTACATCCATCGCCCTACCAGACTGAGTGGGAGTGGGAGTGGGAGCTCCTACTGCAACCTGGGACAGACCGTCAGAATTTGAGAATTACGGCCCAAGCTCTGCTTACCTTCTCTCTAAACAAACTCCCAAATAAGAGCTATGCTCACCATCTTTGTCCTTCTGGGTACATTTCTCCCAGTACATCCCAAGGCACCGAGCAGAGCCGAGGGCGCAGTGCTTCACGGGAGCAAAGAGAGCTGGGCCTGCTGACCGTGGTAGGTTTTGATCAGCCACACTGGCTGATGGGCCAGAGAAGCACTAATAAGCATGTCGCACGCTCCAGGCTCTACTTGGCAACTTCCTCTTTTAATACAACTTTTCTCCCCTCCTGGCGGGCCAGCTGACCTCGAGCTTCCTTCCCAGCTTGTCCCTAGAGGCAGAGCATAGGGAACATTGGACTGGAAGTTCAAAGTCCACCAATTGGCTGGCAAGGCGTTTCACTCTCTGAGCCCCTATTTTCTCAAAGGTTAGGTGAGGAGTTTGGGGACTGTCTGGGGCTCCTAGGATTTGCTATACGCAGCAGTCTTTAATCTCATAAATGTCATGGACTCCACTCCCCACATAGCAGGTTGTACTTCTACTGATTCAGTCTACTCATAAGGCTTGATGTACCTGTGAATCAAGAGCCCCTTGTGGGTTAAGATATTTCCATAAGTATCTCTTAGCTGAATTTGTCCAGGACCCTAACATTGCGTAGGCCCCAATGTTTACACTATGTCATTCCCTCAGGTTCCTGGCCTCAGAAAAATCATCTCTTTTCCCTCAGAAAAGAGAAAACAGGATCTGACTGTCAAGGGCAAAAGAATGGGGAGAGAAGATATTAACCCATGGTCCTCTGGGCTTCAGGGAGCTGAAGGAGTCCTAGAAAAAGAGGAACTCCAGGGCCAGGGAAAAAAAGCATTTATAGCCCGATGCTCCCCAGATTTCTCAGCAAAGACTAAATGAGGTGAGGGACTGCCTGGACGTCCAAGCTCAGTGCTATTAGACCTATGTTTGAATCTCCGGCCGCTGCCCATGAGAACTTGAGAGCTTAGAAAGGCAACTCACCCACCCTCTCCTGGCCCCCATTATCTCCTTCTATACAATGGGCATAAGACCTACGGCACGAAGTTGTTTAGCTTACACTGGAATAAATTAGCTAACGCATATGAAATACCTAGGTGACTGCCTGGCACGTCACTGGTGATCAATAAACGCTAGTCTTACACCCCGAGTTCATCTGCCACCAGCCTTTCGTTATCTTGGGAGGAGAGATTCAGGCATGATTCGTGTATCTGTCCATATGAGTTGCACTTTTTTCCCTTCTTTTTAGTGAAAAGTCCTAACATTGCTTCATCCAGACTAATGGAGAACTAGGAATGTCCACACCCGGGCGAGGCGGGGTGAGGCTTCGGGTCCTAAGTGGCCGCGCTGCGTAGACACCCCCCCCC